CCATCACCCTAAACCTTCTCATATTCCTTGACCTTCTTCGCCAGGCATGCAGCACAGATGATGGCGCCAACTTGAATGAGGCCGATGACGATGATTATGATGCCGAAAGCCAGAGCAGAATCCTTTATCTCATTGTACATGGCCTGAGCGCAGCCCTAGACGTCGGTCTTTTATCCACAAAATTCTTTTCAACTTACAATTTGATGGGGATCTGTACAAGATCCACTTTCTTTGCCACAGCAAGACGGAGGGGGATTAGTCCAATCAGTTGGACCAGTGCCTCCGCAGCATTTCAGCTAGAAAACCTAATAACTCAGACCAAAAATGTACCTTTAGTTGCAGCTCATATAAGGCTTGCAAAGTAGGATCAGAACCTGAAAGAGAACCGTTTTGATACGTCTCAATCGTTTCTTTTATCTCTTTTCCAACGATGCGAACGAACTAGATATGTCATTTGAACAAAACCATTCGGGTAAAACCTACATCGTGACGGTAGACAAGGAGAATGATGGCGCATATGATCTCCGCGACAAGTAGAACACCAACAACGATTGCAAACTAAGGGGAGGGAGTAAGGCAACTGGAAATCTTACCGTTTTTAGCATGCATGTGTTATTATAGCAAGCACCGAAGCATCCCAGGAAGCCGATAAGAAAAAGTAACAGACCAAAGGCAGTTATGAAGGCAGGAAGAGTCAGAGACACCGTACCTCCAGACTTTTTGGTTTCGACCAAGAGGTAAACACCAAAACCAGCAATAACACCACCTCCGATCTGAAATACAAAGTCAAGAAGAAAGACCACTCCAGAGTTGATTTTAGCAGTTGGCGGATTCTGCCAGAACGGTTCCGCTTACAAAGACAATGGCATTAAAGAAGAAGACGAGAAATTTGAGGAAATTCCCGGCACAGGAGAGACCCATTTCAACGCCCCGCTCTAGCGAGAATTAATGCATGGGCGATGGAGACTGAACTTTTATCAGGTCCACGCAAGCCGACACAAAATCGATGCTCACTCGACGCCGCCAGCCAATAGTGTGAGGCCAAGTTGGTACGTGCTGGTATGTGCGTGCATGCCGCTCTAGCCAATGATCATGCGAAGGCTGGTAATGAGAATATGGAGGCATGGCTGGTAGTTCGTAGGGCAAATGAAGGCCTTCAAACGGCCAATCAGCCCTGGCGATAGTCGTCGTGAGGATTCAAGAGCACTTTCAGCAGTGTTTTGTTCTAGAATACTAATACATGACGGTCATATTTGGGATGATCACATTTGGTTACCATTCTTCTGTACTTCCCTTTTCTTGGAATTGAGATGAATGAGGCGAAGATGCCACCACAAAAAAGGTTTTAAGTTTAGTTTACCCAGTGTAATGTATCAGATTTACCCCACAGAGAATAAATACGTAATT